TGAGTCTTAATGTTCTTTTACGACCAACAATTGTGAAAGTAGGGGTTTTTGCTTTGAGTTGAAATTGAACAACTAATGGATTAAAACAAACTAGCAAATAAAAATCAACTAAATGAGATTGACAGAAAATAATTCAACAAAATAAGAAAATAAGAATCAATTATGAATAGATTTTCAGTCAAAGAAATAATATTCGTTTTAGTATGTAAGGTTGATCATTGATGCAAAGATAATTCTTACCAATTCTCAATAAACTAGTTTTAGCTATTGGAGACTAATAGGCAATATTTCCTTAATTTTAAATTAATTAAGAAATGTTCGTTGATTAACTCTTACCAACGAACAACCGCGGTGACACTCCTAGAGTTTAATACACTAAAAGAATTAAAAACTAGAAAGACCTGATTTCAACCAACAAATACATCAATGCAGTTCATTTAGATTGAATTATATATTTTCTTAGTGAACACTAATTTATCACTAATTATCAGAATATTTTGAACAATTATAGATTCAGGAATCCCGAATGACGTTATTCTATTATGCTAAACGCAAAATGCGCTCTATTGCAACGAATAACAAACAACAATATTCTTATACATAGAAGAATATAAAAATATTGAAAATAGGGAAGAATAAAAATAAAATAATTAGATCTCACAGTTCTTATATTGAAACTTCAATTAAATCCATGACTAGAAAAGATGAGTATCTAGCTGCTTATCACGAGTTTAGTACACCAAAAATTATTTAGAATCAACAGAAAAAAGTACAGAAAATAGAAAAAGAATCTGCTCTTCTTCTTCTTCTCCATCGGCCTCCTCCTCACGGCTGTCCTCTTTTTCTTCTATTTAAAGAGTGAGGTTTTGTGTAGTTAGGGGTTTTCTCCCCTTAATTTCAACCTCCTTTTTATTTTTTAAAAGTATCATTTTAATTTAGTTTTCTATTTTTGCCTTTTTGTTTTTTTTGTTTTAAAGAATCCTAAAAGATTAGTATATATATTGTTTCCACTATAGTGTAAGCCTTGACCAAGGCTTACCTGCGTATAAACTAATATATACCGCTAAAGCCGCTAGGTGCAAGCCATTCCCGAGGCTTGAGCACGAATGACGATTTTGTGTGCTAAATCAGTTATGCTACACTATTTTCAGATATTAAGTTTTATTTTTTCACCTGTATCAAAATTTAACAAAATCTCTTAAGTGAAGCAGTAACTAATACAAATATATGTTCAATCTAAGCAATAGGAGTAACGTTTATGCACACTATCACTCGCACAGACCCTTCTGGCATCTATACATGTCCAACAAAGTCCCTCACTCACTTGTGCAGCAACCTGCTCAAAAGCATCGTGCCAGGGACATTTCCCGGTGGTTCTGGGTACTCATAAAGCATCCCCTACACGAACCTGCACGACTAGCTCGTGTGTGCCTAACAACTTCAGCACGTTGGTGCCTGGCACGTTTGAGAGAAGCAATTTTGGCTTCTGTCACCAATTCCTTTCCATTTTCACTTTGTAATTTCAACTTACATTGTTCTGTCTCATGTCCAACAAACAATTCATCATCAATGAACTTTAAAACATCCATAATTTACACATTAAACATCAAAAGAATACAGTTCATGAACTCACTCACCCTTTTCAATTTAAACACCAACTCACTTTCAATTTTTGAATAACTTACCAATGCAAATGCTTATCTAACAATCCATAAATATAATAACTCGATTATTCCTTATCTTATCTCGAAGAAGACCACGATTTGGACTCAAAAGCACGAAGGAAAGAGGATTTTATGATTGAAAATCGGTTCTGCAACTCACCAAGAAACTGTTGCGGAACCTGTGAAGCATTTTGAGTTAGGTTTCGGTTTAAGAGTGGTTTTGCTTCCAAAAAATGAATTTCTAATACTCCTAACAACCTATTCTAACTGGTAACTACTAATGATTGTGAAAAGATTGAAAATGGAAATGGTATTTAACAGAAAAACAGTGATCCTACCTGCACAGTTCGCGATGGCAGGTGCAGCAGCAAAGAAGCTTCGGGTTTCAAGCTTGCTGAAGTTTCTGGGCTTGAGGAGCTGTAAAATGATTGTTTAGATGCTAAAGGATCGAGAGGAACAAGTCATAAGGGAACTCACCTAAATCGGAACAAGAGAATTTCTTCAACACACGCACCAGACCTTCCCCTCGGTACAGATCTGTTCTTCGCACACTGCTGCTTCTCTGTTGTGAAATAAAATCATCCTGCTTCTCTGTTGTGATGTAGGCTGGCACTGGAATAGCAGAACTCACAGCACTTGAGACATCTAAGCAGGTTATATAGCCTACTATTAGCTGGAATGTTCATTAATCTGATGCTTTAATATGTTTTGTCAAACTTGGAATATTTAATAGGAACACAACCTAACTGAGTGAAATAAGTTCTGATTCGGATGCAGACAAATATCCCACTGGAAAAGGCTAGAAAGAATATTTGGCTTGTGGTCTCTAAGGGGGTAAAAAGCTAATCTGGCTTCTTACTGCATGAGACGTGGGTCCTCTTTGATTGCACATCTTTTTCACTATATTCCAATATTGAAGTGCAAGTCTTTGTAGTAATTAATTGTTAGTTCTCGCAAGGAATCACTTCAACATTTCAAAAACCATGGGCTCATGAACACGAGCCTATAAAGGAACTTGTAGATGCTGTTAAGGTGCACTCTCTCTCTGTCTCTTTCCCCCTCCTCTCTCTCTCAAACTCATATGGGTTTGAAACAAATTTTTAACTCAATTGACTTTATTACTTTCAGGCGATCAAACCAACAGTGCTGATTGGAACATAAGGGGTTGGTAGGATATTTACTCAAGAAGTTGTTGAGGCTATGGCCAGCTTAAATGAGGTACTTTGTATATCCATATACTTATAAACTGAGATTTTTAAGAGCAGGAAGCAAAACTGGCTTTTCTCATAAATATGACTAAATCAAATGCAGAAACTCATTATTCTCTCTCTTTCCAACCCAACTTCACAACCCGAGTGTACTGCTGAAGTCAGCTTATAAATGGAATCAGGTAACAGAACCATGCAACTTGTACATGTTACTTCTCCATCTGAGAAAGCATCATGTTAATCAACTTGTTCTTTCATCCCTTAATGCTTTAGAGGATGCATTTAATAAATTTAGATATTCCATTGATTGAGGACTGACTTTGGCATCTTTTGTTCAGGAAAATAATGCATGCATCTTCCCTGGATTTGGGATTGGTTTGATAATGTCTGGTGCAATTCGTGTGCATGATGACATGCTTCTAGCAGCCTGTAAGTATACATTCCTAGTAATGCCTTTGCTGCACTTCCATCAAACTTCACAATAGTTGTTCTACTTTTACTCTCACTTCCAAAGCAGCTCTTGTCATTTTTCTGTTTTTTATGATGATTGACTCCTTGCATCTTTGTCGTATTTTTGTGGAACAGCCAGAAGCATTGGCTTCACAGGTGACTCAGGAAAACTTTGACGAAGGACTCATACATCCACCATTCACGAACATAAAAAAGATTTCAGCACATATTGCGGCCAAAGTAGCTGCTAAAGCTTACGAAGTTGGTAAGCACCTAAGTTGGTTAGCAAATTATACGTGTATGCCAAATATAAGTTGCAGCATATTATGTAACTGTTGAAAAGCTATGCAATCATCTTGTAGGTCTGGCTACTCGTCTGCCTCAGCCTAAGGATCTGGTGGGGTATGCTAAGAGTTGCATGTACAGTCCCGTCTATCGTAGCTACCGGTGAAGTATGCTGTGTTAGAATTGGGACTCTTAAATCACATAAAACTGTAACTATGTTGTTTTTTTTAACGCCCTCAGCTCCCTTCAAATTTTTTATTTGTTCAGTTTCTATGGTAGAAAATGTTGATTTTTCGATAAAAATGTGATAATAACATTTTGAGACTGTGAAACCACTTAAACATGAAAATCTTTGCAGTCTTTTTTTAATGAAGAAATTTCATACTAATTTACACTGCAACTATTTTGCAACCAAGGAAGAGCAACAATCAGCATCGGATAATTTTCTTTTAAAAAAATTGTGGTTAAAAACTCAGAAATCTTTAAACATCCAGATATAAGTATAATAAATGTTGATTGCTTGGTTAGGGAATGGTTAGTTAAGAATAGGTTTGGTGGAGAAAATGGAAGCAAAAGGCGAGTGTCACATCGGCCAGACCCAAGCAACTCTATGGGAGTCGGTCTTCCACGGGAAAACAGCTCGCAGGCAAGCAAGCTACGGCACCCGCATAGCCGCGGGCAATGCGTGCAATGACCGCCCGTGGCTTTCGTGAGATGACCCATACAATGCCCTGCATGATTGCGGGCTGCCAGACCAGCTTGGCAGATGGGACACATGCGTGTCCGCGGCTCACAACCTCATGGATTGGGGAATTTTTCCCACTTCCGCAGGATTATACTTAATTTCCTTTGGGGAATTAATTCTTGTTAATTAAAAATATAATTTCTCCATTCAAAAGAAACAAATTAAAACAAAATAATAAATGTGGTACAATTTGCGAATTCCTGAAATACCTATTTTATTAATAATGTGGTGGTTACATTTATGCATTTATAATATGTACTAGTTAAGGTTAATAAAAAATTAATTTACAAAATATTTGTATAATAATATTATTAAAAATAAAAAATTATTATTATTTTTTAATAATATTCGAACTTCAATACCATGATAATTATTTGCATGAAATAATCATAGGTGGCGGGTGACAAACAATAAAGGTGTAATACCGCATCTATACTTGAAAATTCGATTAATAAAGTCTTCACTTTAAATTAATTATTTTAATTCTTATTTTGCAAAATTTTCACAAGCAGAAATTAAATTTAAATAATCGGGCTTATTTATGGTAAAAATATCAATAAATAAACAGAATAAAACATAAAAAATTAAATTAAACTCTAAAATTAATAAAATAGGGGCTCAAGAACATAAATAAAAGAAAACTAAAATTTGAGGGCCTTCAGCAAATTAAAAAGGACTTAAATATCAAAAGTTTCAAAAATCTGAAAGTTTTGACACCTCGGCAAGTAAGATGTCAAAATGGGCCAATCGGAGGAGGCCCTTCGGCCACGTGAACACACAATTGGAAGTATTCGGGAGCGGACAGATAAGGTGAGACCATATGTGCTAAGAAAAAAAAAATCCATAATTATTTCTAATTAGAATTTGTAACTTATTATACATATGAATTTTACCAGAAAAACACTTTAAGGTGTGTGTATAAATCAAAAGTTTAAACAAATTATATGTTTTCTACTTTTTAAAAAATTCGATTATCTAAATTTTAATTATCACAAAACATAAAACGAGTGTCAGATACATTTCTGCTATATCATCTTCATGCTCCCACATTACTTCTTCGAATTGATAGTGTTGCCATAAAACTTTTAGGAATGAAATCACTTTTGAACATAATACATTTTCATTACTCCGATACCACATTAATGCTCACATCATTCATACGCATACACATAAAATTTATCACAACCACTCTTGGTTTCTCTCACTTGTTACTTTTCATGAGAACTTAATTAATAGAAATATACTTTTACTAACATTTCCATACAAATCAAATAGTGAAAAACACATAAATAACTTACCTACCCTAGTCCAAGCATTGTATAAATAAAAAATAAAAAAAAAAATTTAGGAGTGTTCTCAAAAAGTGTTAAAACTTTTAATAGCTCAAGTCACATGGTTTGTATTATATTTTTTTTTTTACTAACAATAAAAACACAAAAAAGTCAAACTCTAATAAAATACATTAATGTGTACAAACAATCCATTTTTCAAATATTTCCCTTGTAAATCTCTCTGTAAATAAATAGCTAAAAAATAAATTTTAAAATATTTTTGAATAATAAATACCCATTAATTATTAACAATGTGCAAAGATCTAATCAAACAATTAAAGAAAAATATGAAATTTTTTTTCTTTGATTTTCACACTCCCCCCCCTTTTTTCTTTCTTGGTTCTACATGCATCTCATTAGCCCTCCGACGGATACGCTGAAGATCATAATATTCAGGCATCAATCAGTCGAAGAGTTGGTATAGAACTCCCCAATGAAGCTTGGGATTTTTAATTTGGGAAAAATTCCAAATGAAGTAAAAGTGGAAGCCACGTAAATTATGCATACACACATATTTATATGTACGTTGAAGAATGAGGCAGACATTACGAGACCAATTCAACACACTTTAAAACGATTTTAATTGTTTGAACAACTAACTAACAACCACCAGATGCATCCTTTTGCTTCCATTTTCTCCACCAAACAATCAACATTTATTACATACCATTTTATCGACATTTATTATATCTATCTGCATGTTTAAAGGTTTCTGAGTTTGATAACCACAATTTTTATTTTAAAAAACTATCCGACGTTGATTGTTGCAAAATAGTTGCGGCGTAAATTAATATGAAGCTTCTTCTTTAAAAAGAGACTGCAAAGATTTTCATCTTTAAGTGGTTTCACAGCTTCAAAATACTATTATCAATTTTTTTGAACAAAAAAAAAGAAAGAAAAAAAAAACCAACATTTTCTACCATAGAAACTGAACAAATAAAAAATTTTGGAGGGAGCTAAAGGGCGTAAAAACAACATAGTTACAGTTTTATGTGATTTAAGAGTCCCAATTCTAACACAGCATACTTCACCGGTAGCTACGATAGGCGGGACTGTACATGCAACTCTTAGCATATTCCACCAGATCCTTAGGCTGAGGCAGACGAGTAGCCAGACCTACAAGATGATTGCATAGTTTTTCAACAGTTACATAATATGCTGCAACTTATATTTGGCATACACATGTAATTTGCTAACCAACTTAGGTGCTTACCAAGTTCGTAAGCTTTAGCAGCTACTTTGGCCGCAATATGTGCTGAAATCTTTCTTATGTTTGTGAACGGTGGATATATGAGTCCTTTGTCAAAGTTCTCCTGAGTCACCTGTGAAGCCAATGCTTCGGCTGTTCCGCAAAAATACGACAAAGATGCAAGGAGTCAATCATCATAAAACACACAAAATGACGAGCTGCTTTGGAAGTGAGAGTAAAAGTAGAACAAGTATTGTGAAGTTTGATGGAAATGCAGCTACGGCATTACGCAAAATGACAATGACTCGGCTGTTCCGCAAAAATATGACAAAGATGCAAGGAGTCAATCATCATAAAAAACACAAAATAACAAGAGCTGCTTTGGAAGTGAGAGTAAAAGTAGAACAAGTATTGTGAAGTTTGACGGAAATGCAGCTACAGCATTACTAGGAATCTGTACTTACAGGCTGCTAGAAGCATGTCATCATGCACCCGAATTGCACCAGACATTATCAAACCAAGCCCAAATCCAGGGAAGATGTATGCATTATTTGCCTGAACAAAAGATGCCAAAGTCAACCCTCAATCAACAGAATATCTAAATTTATTAAATGCATCCGCTAAATCATCTGAACTTCATACCTGGCCAGGCACAAAAACTTTATCCTCATATTCAACTGGGGCAAATGGGCTTCCACTAGCAAAAATTGCACGTCCCTGCAAACCCCACCACAGAAAAAAGCGATTCAAGAAGGCTCGTCATGAGTTTATCCTAAGCAACATAAAATCTTAACAAAATCGACATTAGCGTTAAGGGATGAAAGAACAAGTTGAATAACATGATGCTTTCTCAGATGGAGAAGTAACATGTACAAGTTGCACGGTTTTGTTACCTGACTCCATTTATAAGCTTCTTCCGCAGTACACTCGGATTGTGAAGTTGGGTTGGAAAGAGAAAGAATAATGGGTTTCTGCATTTGATTTAGTCATATTTATGAGAAAAGCCAGTTTTGCTTCCTACTCGTAAAAATCTCAGTTTATAAGTACATGGATAGACAGACAATGTACCTCATTTAAGCTGGCCATAGCATCAACAACTTCTTGAGTAAATGTCCTACCAACCCCTGATGTTCCAATCAGCACTGTTGGTTTGATCGCCTGAAAGTAATAAAGTCACCTGAGTTAAAAATTTGTTTCAAACCCATATGAGTTTGCGAGAGTAAGGAGCGGAGAGAAAGGGAGAGAGTGCACCTTAACAGCATCTACAAGTTCCTTTATAGGCTCATGTTCATGAGCCCATGGTTTTTTGAAATGTTGAAGTGATTCCTTGCGAGAATTGACAATTAATCCCTACAAAGACTTGCACTTCAATATTGGAATATAATGAAAAAATGTGCAAACAAAGAGGACCCACGTGTCGTGCAGTAAGAAGCAAGATTAGCTTTTTACTACCTTAGAGTCCACAAGCCAAATATTCTTTCTAGCCTCTTCCAGTGGGATATTTGTCTGCATAAGAATCAGAAGTTATTTCTCTCAGTTAGGTTGTTTTCCTATTAAATATTCCAAGTTTGACAAAACATACTAAAGCATCATATTAATGAACATTGCAGCTAATAATAGGCTGTACAACCTGCTTAGATGTCTCAAGTGCTATGAGTTCTGCTATTCCAGTGCCAGCCTACATCACAATAGAGAAGCAGCATGATTTTATTCCAAAAGAAAAAGAAAATAAAGCAGAAGACTTTCTACTTATTACATATTTCCTTATTCCTTGATGGAAAAGTAATTAGGCTGCAGAGCATGACCTATAGCCTAGGATAATAGCTACTCACCTCTCCAGCACCAAGGAATAGGAATCGGTGGTCAGCTAAAGATCCCCCAACAAATTTCAGAGCTGCAACCAGGCCAGCAAGGACCACAGATGCTGTGCCCTGGAATAATATCATTATGCATGGTATTAGACACAAAGATATGGCTATATCCTGTCATAACTAACTGCCATACCTGAATATCATCATTAAAAACAAGATGAGTTGTGCCATACTTTGCAAGCAGATCAAAAGCATTATGATTTGCGAAGTCTTCAAACTGCAACAAATTTAATGAAAATTTAGAGAGCATGAAGAAAACAAACAAGTAATCTAATCCTTCAATGATGTTGGTAGCCAACTACCTGAATGAGGACTTTCTCCCCATAGTTCTGCTTTACTGCAGTCATGAATTCATGTAGAAGTTCAGCATATTCCTGAACAAGCAGCAGGATCCCACTTCAGTATAACAAAAACTATCCAGCTTCAAAAATGAAGCTAAAAAGCAGATGAGATAGGCTAATTACCTGTCCAGTAGCCCTCCTTTGCCGAAGACCTATGTAGAATTCATCTTCCACAACTTCTCATTATTTGTTCCCACATCAATGGTTACAGGCAAGCACTGAATAATCAACATAGTCAGAAATTTTTTGTTGTGAAAATTAGAAAAGTAATGGTAGCATGAATAAAAGTTGGAAGAAACTAATTTCCAAGTCTTGGAGTTTCAAATTCTCCACGGTCTGAATTGCTACAGCTCTCTAATTAAACTTCATGGTGTTCTATGTATACAGAAAGAAGCATTAACATAGTTTTACCAATTAACAGAATCACGGACAACTAAAATACCACAAGGTTTTCAATTTGAAAAATAATGGCAATGACACTCCGATATGGGATTGCACGCTTGACTAGCTTTTCTCCGAAAATTTTCATGCTTGGCGCATTATTTTCCTTACTTCTTTTTGAGAGAGAGAGAGAGAGAGAATTAAAATCAAACGGGAACCATAGGGGTCCAATCAATACACAAAAGATACATCAAATGACCTTAACATTTACATCTAATTAGCAAACAAGCTATTTGAACAAATAGAACATATCAAAGTAAATCTGCAGCCTTCTTTTATTTAGCTATTTAAGGGAAGAACTGCACCCTCATGATGATACTTACAGCTGAAGGACGGACACCTCCAAGTGCAGTATAGAGAGAAAGCTTCCCAACAGGTATTCCCATCCCCTGGAAAAAGAATTTATCATTAACTAAATTAATAAATACATGCACATGAAAACCACATGACAAGTTTACTAAATAACAAAAAATCAAAAAGTTGAAGGAAGGGATACTACTAGAAGCATAAAAGAATCTGTGGGTATCAAATCAGAAAAAAGGATGTTATTTACCTGACAGCCAAGATCCCCTAACCCTAAAATTCGCTCCCCATCAGTAACGACAATGACCTGAATATTCTTCTCAGGCCAGTTTCTCAATACCTCGAGAATCCTTCCCCTGCAAATGACCACCAATTAGTTCTAGTATACATAGCTCAATGCAGTATTAAAAAATTGTAAAGTTAACTAATGAGGGCAACAACAAAGATGGACTGGCATACTTCTCTTTCAAACTGATAAACAGACCCTGAGGACGCCTGAAGATACTTCCATATTTCTGGCAAGCCTCACCAACAGTTGGAGTGTAGACAACAGGAAGTAACTCCTCAACATGGTCAATCAAGAGCTTGTAAAACAATCTTTCATTTGTCTCCTGAAAGCCAAGATTATAACAATTTGAAACATTAACTTCAACCATTTTTGTCGAATAAAAGACAGGCTTCAGGACGCAATCAATGAAAAATCTACCGCATACATTTCCAAAAACTTTAAAGAGACCATGTATCTTTATTTGGGAGTCACATATTCCAACTAGAAGCTTAGGAGACAAAACAAGACTGAAATGTTTCAGCAACTACCTGCAGATCCATCATGGCCATATACTTCTGCAAGGGAACTTGGTACTGTCGGAGGGTGTGCATCATTTTCTTCACCTGACGAGTGGTAACAAAAGGGAAGAGTTATTGCATGTTTACTGAGAATGACACTGAAGGAATTTATGTTCATTGAGAGTGATATTGAAGAATCTATAAGGCATGAAAGATAACCTGCAGGTCTTGAGAAACAACAGATGGGGGCAAAAGACCTCGCAAATAGTGGGCATCTCTCTCTTTGTCATTGAAAGCAAGCCCTTTGTTATGGTGAGGATCACGTAACAACGAATATCCACTGCAGCAAAGAAAATAGATGACTAAATAGAGAATTAACGCAGGCAAGGCAAAACAAAACTAGGCATTTTCATCAGATTATGGTGTCAACAAAGAACAATCAGAAG